CTTATATAGACATAATTGCAAAATGAATTAGGTATAGATCTGTTTGCATGAGTTTTCTCCCCCCCCCCCCCCAATCCTCTAATGAATTAAGTGTAGAAGTGTTTGCAAGGCTGTTTTTTTCCCCTTTTTCTCTCTGCATAAGGATTTATAAGGACACCTACAAGGGATGGACTGGACCCACAGGAAGTGGAAAGAATAACTTGGCAAAACAACTAGCTTGTCTTATCAAAAGGGCTTTAAACTACAATTGAGGGGGGAGGGGGGCAATTTTCACAATTTTTTCACAATCCTATAAGGAGGTAGGGAGTAAAGAGAAAGAAGAAGAAAAACATAACAGAGTAGTGAGTGATGGGAAGGATGGAAGTCCCAGTTGCTAAGGAGGAGATATAAGAAACATACCCAAGACCCATAAAGGGCAGAGATGCCTATTCACTAATGCTCAAAGTTTAGGGAACAAACAGGGTGAACTTGAAGTATTACTATATGAAGGGAGAAAAGATAAGAGTTCCAATTACTGAAACTTAGTGGGATGAAATTCATGACTGGAATGTACTGACGAAACAATACAAACTATTCAAAAGAAACAGATCCAACACCAAACTTCTTAGGGAATTATTTGAGAAAAGGTTTTCTATGTTACATGACACAATAAAAGAGATGAATGAAAAATCCGATAATGTTTTTGAATTATTGGTATCAGAATTAAAATAAACTAATGGGGATGTTAAAAAATATACAGATTATATAAATACAAACTTATTCTTAACCAAAGTTTATTGTCATTGGATTTGGAACAGAAGGAACTTTTTTTGCAAATTCCTGACCAAATTTGCAACTTAAATGATGTCATTGTAACAGAAATGACTAAATGGTTTAATGTTAAGAAAGTAGACTTCTCTAAAGAAATAAACAAAATTTACAGAATAAATTCATATGCAGCCAGAATACAATTGCCAAGAGATGTTATTATCCAATTTATAAGAAAATCTATTAAAGACCATTAAAGACCATTCAGAAACATTACCATCAGCGATTTAACATTTCTGGAAAAGAGGTGCAAATATTCAGAGAAATTTCAATTACAATATTAAGGAAGCACAAAGAATATTTTCTCTGACAGATTTTCTGAAACAAAATAATATTCCCTTTCCCTGGGATAATCTGGAAGGTGTTATCTTTACCTTTAGATATCAGTGGTATAGACTAAACCCAGTCCTTAAAGCACAGGACTTTTGGGAAAAATATGGATCAGAACTACACTATTTTTCAAAAAGATAAAGATTGGAAACAAAAAGACAAAAAGAGGTCTGAAGCTGTAGAGATGGGAGCTCAGCTGGAATCCCCGGATCTTCCTCTTTATCGGATAGATTGCAAGATTCTGACATGGAATGTTAGTGGAACAGATTCCCCACAAAAGAGAAAAAAAAGTTATTTCCTTATTTGAAAAAAGTGAACCATGATATAATATGTTTGCAAGAAACTCATATTAAAGAGACTGACAAAATATTTAATAAATAACACTGTGGGTCTGGGATTTATTTTGGTTAATTCAAAGAAAAAAGCTAATGGGGTAGTTTTGTGTATAAAACCCCAGCTGCATCCACATTTATTTTTTGCTGATGATCAAGGCAGGTATGTAATTGTGCAAGTTGAATAAAATTACAGGGAATAAAATGTATTGTGGTGGGATTATATACCTCACATCAAGAAAAAGTCAAGTTTTTAAAGCATCTGTCTGAACACTTACTCTCCTATTCTTTTGCAGTATCGGTATGTAATTGGCGATTACAATGGGGTAGGTAACCCCACAATTGGACATATCAGCTGATAAAGGAATTAAAGAAACACAAGGGAAACTGCCCCAAGTTTTTTAAAAGCTAACTGATACTTTAAGTTTGATCAATGTTTGGAGGTATATAAATGGACTAACAAAAGACATTGCCTTGAAATGACTGGTCTAAGTCATTTATGAAGATATTGGAAGAGAACTGGGCCTAAGACAGAACTTTGTGGTGCCCCACTGCTTACTTCCCTCCATTTTATAAAATACAGTACAGCAATTAAGAGGAAGATGGATGAACAAATCCAAAATGTGTTACAAGAAATAAAACTGAAGGAGAGGGAACTCCAGAGTTCACTAGAATATTGTAATATACCTAATCAACTAAAATTATTGCAACAACAAATATCTTTATTGACTGTTTCAAATATTGAAAAGAAACCTATGAAACATATGAAACCACACTTTTTTGACCAGGCAAATAAACCAGGGTGATGGCTGGCATACAAACTGAGAAAACTGATAGAAAAGAAAATGATAGCCAAGCTTCAAGGGGGAATAAGATTGACATGGATAATAAAAACATTCAAAGACTTTTTTAGGAATTATTATACCAATTTATATAAAGAACAAGAAATATCTTTAGATACTATGGAGGAGTAAAATGACTAAAAAATGACCTAAACTATCTGGAAATTACAAGCAAATTTTGAACACTCCAATAACAATTTTTGAAATAATATAATATATTATATTATTATAATTATAATAATATAATTAAAAGAGTAATTGATCAACTGACAATATTTATCATTGCTGTACTATAGTCATTGTCTTGTATTTAAAATAATATTAGCCAAGTTCGGTCCTGCCTTAAATTATTAAATCAATAACTACTGATGGCTAGGAGAATGTCAGAACATTCTACATGCTCCTCAATTCCAGAATACTTGTTCAAAAATTACAGAATACCATGAAAAACAATGATTATACTCTCTGACTCTGGATTTTATCTTGTCTGTCACTGAAACCTATAAATTGATTAAAACGATTTTCAGTATAATTTTCATAAACATACTCCCCACCCCCCAGGTTACTTTGGTTTTGAGATTACTGTTAGAATTTCCTACTTTACTAGAATTATTAAATATTGAGAGTAATTTACTGCTCCAAACCTTTTCTTTAGTAAGCGTTAGGTGGTATCCACTGCCATACGTTTCCTTGAGGTAGAATGGAGACCCGCAGCATTTGAGGGCCCCATGTTCCAAGAATGCAATCCTGTCGCTTAAGACCTCGGCTTCATCCAGGTGATGTGTGGAAAGGATGATCGTTCTGCCTGAAAAGAACATAAAAAGTATGTTTTAGGGGCAATTACACTAGAATTTCCATACAGATTCCTGTGGCAGCAGAAAAATTGCCAAGTGAAAAATGAATTGCTCAGACTCAGGAGCTCATTCGGTGCAGAGGCCAGAAAAGGATTGTGCCTCTCCTTCAAACCAACGGGAGCCAAGACCACTGGCAGTTTCCTTTCTTTCCCCCTCGGGAAGAGCCACTCAGCATAAAACAATGGCTGTTTAAACCAATTTCCTTTCTTTTCTTAGAACAATTCAGTAATGCTGGAGATTGTTTATCAGAAATCCCATTTTGAGATCTCCAGCACGTTTTATCATTATCACATTTACAAGTCAATTTATCAGCCTCAACTGCCACCCAATCTTATAGTCATGGAAAGCCAGGGGCTGCTGGTTCTCCATCTATGGCGGTAGGTGGCCGTTTCCCCCAAAGGACAAAGAGCCCCGGTGCTGGGCTAAAGCTGGCCTTTTCTGTTCCGATGCCTCTCCTGCTAGAGCCCAGCCACCCGTTTGCGTCTGACGGAGCAAGAAGAGGCAAAGTCTGCTCTTGGCTTTCCCAACTGCCCTTCTGCACGGATCTCTCCTCTTATCAAAGCTTAAAGTTTGAAAGCTTCTCTTTAATGGATGTTTGTGGTTCCATAACTGTGACTATATTTGTAATAGTCGTTCAAGCTTAATCTGTTATTCTGTTAATATTATAGCAATCCTTGTTGTTGCTCTGAAAAGCTGGAATGACAATATACCTGCCCATATTACCTTTTCTGTTCTTTGATATGATTTCCCAAATGCCTCTCCTAGAACAGGGATCAACTCCAGTGGTCGGTTCATCCAAAATTACAACTTTTGACCCTCCCAGCAGAGCAATTGAAATAGAGAGCTTCCTTTTCATCCCTCCTGATAAAGAGCCTGTCAGCTTGTCACGATGGTTGTATAATCCAGTCTCCTTCAAAATCCTTCAAAACAGCACCCAGAAAGAACATTATTTTGTAAAATAAGTAGAAGAAAGAATGATAAAAATTTAGTTTAAAAAATTAGCAAAAGAAACAATTAGTTTAAATTACAAGGACATGGATTTTGGTAGCACACCAAGCAAGAGCGTTGTTAAGTGAGTTTCACCACATTTTACAAGTTGGTCATGCCCACCCAGTCACATGGCCGGCAAGCAACTCCCACCTGGTCACATGGCTGGCAAGCCACTCCCACAAAGCAGGCCACACCTGCAGAAGGGGTTCTAAAAAAAATTGAAACCCACCACTGGTACATATGTACATATGTATATAAGCATTCTCCCCAAATTTATTTTCCACATGAGAGTGATGTTAGTGCTACTAAATAATTGCACTATTACATAATTTTTGCAAAAGGAAAAGGAGAAATACCTAACAAATATAAAAGGAAGGCTGTTTTATGCTGTTGAAAATACTATGACGTACCGGTTTATTTCTTCCCGTAACTCCTCTCTGCTCCAGTGGGGCATCTTGATGTAGCCATACAGAAGCAGATGTTCCTTTGTGGTGAGGTAATCGAACAATACATTGTGCTGCATGCAAATTCCCATATTTTTTCTGATGAATTCTTGGTCAGTTCTGATATCTTTGCCATAAACAAATATAGTGCCAGATGAAGCAGGAAACAAACCTGTCAGTATAGATCTATAGGGGGGAAGGGAAGAAAAGTTGAGAAAAATTACCAACGTTTTATTCAATGGAAGTTAGTAGTTACTTTAGTATAAAAACCGGAGGGGGAAAAGCAGACTAATTCTAAGATGGATGAGGGTAAAGCTGAGACTGCCATTAATTCTTTGTCATCACAAACCACTCACTGCCCATGGCCGCAGAAGAGCCGAATCCTGGGACTGGGATATAGAACTGGAATGACCATCTAGTGCAGGGATGGCAAACCCGTGTCATCACGGTGACGTCATGTGATGTTTTGGAACTCCTCCCCCCTTGGGACGTGTGTGTGTGTGTGGCTCACGGGCCACGAATTTGACAGGGCTGACCTAGTGGAGTAAGGCATTTTTGCCCCTCGCAAATTGGAAAGCAGTTCTACGCAGCCTTTGGGGTCAGAAAAGGCTGAAATACAATCAATACCAAAACATTCATCCCGAATGGCACTTCTTCTGAGTTCTCTAGAATGGGGAAAGAAATGAGGAAAATCCAGAAACAAGACCAAAAGCTTCAATTAGTTTTCAAAGAGACTCTCATCATGGAGATTGTAGAATGGAACCATTAGGTTACAGAATTCAGAAATAAAGGGGGGAAACAATTGCTTCCCACCATTCTCAACCCAGCTCTGAGGGGCGGGGGGAAATCCTCTGGTCCAGGAAATGTATTGGTTCCCAACCTGGCAGATAACAGGACTCAAGAAAGATTTTTTTTGTATTGTCCTACACT